CCTGTCTCAAATAAATATATAAATAATAAAAATTAGAAATCAAGTAATAAAATGGGGAACTGGAGAAATTGTTTTATGTTTTCCTGACCTCACTGTAAAAACAAATGATAATAGTTTATATTTATTCAACACTAGCTAGAGTTAAGCACTAATAATGACGCTGACATAAACTATTACTATACTCACTTTAGAGACTAAGAAACTTGGGTTTAGGAAAAATAAAGAATGTACCCAAAGTCACACAGCATGTGAGTTACAGAGCTAGGACTCAAACCTAAGGTTACCTGAAACCATGCCATGCATACTTCATTACACACTCTTCCTCAGAAGGTGACCTACTGTTTGCCATGTTATTTTATAATGTAGCTTTCCTGAACAAACTGGTGAAAAGACAGAAAGTGTTCATTCTCACTCACTAATTAATTCAACAAACATTTATTAGTTTCTCAAAACTTTCATTTGACCTTTAATTGTTTGCTACTACTTGGAATATCCAATGGACATGAGTCTCTCCTTCTTTCCCCACACCCAAATTCAGATGCTGAAATACTAACGACCAATTTGATGCAGTATAGGAGGGTCGTTTGGAAGGTAACTAGAGGGGAAAGGTAGTTCCCATGAATGGGATTAGTGTCCTTACAAAAGCGACTCTCACCAGGCATGGTGGTTCATACTATAATCCTAACACTTGGGAAACTGAGACAGGAGAATTACCAGCCTGTACTTCTTAGTAAATTCCAGGCCAGCCTGGTCTATAGGGCTACAGAGCATGACTCTACCGCAAACAAACAATAACAAAATAGGAACTCTCTCATCCTTTCTCATCCCATGATGATACAGCAAGAATATACATCTGGAGGCTGAAGAGATGGCTCAGTGATTAAGAGCACTGACTGCTCTTGCAGAAGACCTAGTTTGATTCCCAGCACCCACAAGGTGGCTAACAACCATCCTAACTCCAATTCCAGAGGATCCAACACCCTCTTCTGACCGCCACAGGCATTGCACTACACGGGTACACTTACATATATGCAAGCAATATATAAAATAAATTTAAAAAAAAAAAAAGAATACAAGTCTGCAGCCTGCAGAGGACTGTCACCAGAACCTGATCATGTGGCACCCTGATTTGGACTTCAACATCTAGAACTGTGACAAGTTTTTGTTATTTATAAGCTACTTAACTTAAAATACTTAGTTCAAGAAGTTAAGCAAACAAACAATAACAACATAATTCTCCCTTAGCTTACCATATATTTTAGTACACTGTAATTTTCATTATTTTTAATACTAATCATACTGGTTCTTTTTTAAAATATTTTATTTATTATTTTTACTTTTTATGTGTATGAGTGTATTGCCTGCAATGTATGTGAGTGCACCCGTGTCATTCAATGCCGCCGAAGTCAGAAGAGGGCTTCGGATTCCCAGGAACTGGAGTTGAGGATGGTTCGTAGCCACCATGTGGGTACTGGGAATCGAGCCCAGGTCCTCTGCAAGAGCAGTCAGTGCTCTTAACTGCTGAGCCATCTCTCCAGGCCCCATACTGGTTCTTAATAGCAGCTCAAACTAAGACAGAAGTCAGTATCAATAAATGGGGGTACATCTGAAAAAAATATCTAAATGGGCTGCCTTTGTTTTTTCATATCACCAGCAACTTGATAAAATGCAATAACAATAATGGTCAAATAAAATCTAATTGCTAAAGTCACTTACAGTTGCATTTTTAATTACACTAACAACCAAGGGATCTTGATACAAATATTTAACGAATATTACATTTGAGGGATTTGGCGAGATGACTCAGTGGGTAAGAGCACTTGCTGCACAATCATCAGAACGTGAGTTTGAATCCCCAAGACTCCCACAGAAAGACCAGGCATGACTGAACATATGGAGCTCCTGGGGAGGTTGAGGGAGGAATAGACAGGAGGATCACTGGACTTTCTGCTACCAGTCTAGCTCCAGATTCAGTGGGAGAGCCTGTCTCAAAGGAATATGGTGGAGAATGACAGAGCAGGACACCCAGCATCCTCCTTTGGCCTCTTTGCACGTGCGCACGTGTACACACAACACACACATGTGCATGAGCATATACAACCCATACACCATACACGTATACACCACTCACATACAAAGTACACAAATAAATAAATAAATAAATAAATAAATAAATAAATAAAACTTCAAATTAAAACTGCATTTGAAGCTGGGCATGGTAGTGCACACGGTTAGTTCCAGCACTCGGGAGGCACAGGCAGGTGGATCTTTGTGAGTTTGAGGTCAGTCTGGTCTACAGAGTGAGTTTTAGGCCTGTCAGGGCTACACAGTGAGATCCTCTCTCTAAAACAAAACAAAGTTTGTCTTCAACTCAAAAAAACTAGTCTCAATTATAGAATGACAGATTTAAGAGCAGTTGAAATAACAAAAATCTAGGTGCTTTATCTAGGAATGCAAAGTGACCCAACACTGTGACAACAAAGCCAAGGAAGCTACATGATCATTTCAAGGAATATTATTAGCACTAAAGGCTCAATTTTATGGAGCAAAGCCTTATACAACACAGTACTGATCAGCACATTACAGAATATATTAAGTACAAGACAGTAAAGACACACTGAAAACAGGAGAGAATCAAAGGAGGGTTTCCAGGAGGGCAAAGACAGGGCATGGAGACCAGGTCATCTGAGGACAGGATGAAAAGGATGCCAAATGCACAGTTCCAAGGGGGAGGACTACAGGGAACATGATGGCTACTTCCACTGTTTCTCTTTAGGACAACAGGGCTGCACTTGTTCTCACCTACACAGAGAAAGGTATGCGAAGCAAAAGTTTGTCCTTATGAAAAATTGATTTGGGCATAAAAGAAGTAATTTTCTTTGTTTTGTTGACACAGGGGCTCCTTGTAGCCACAGCTAGCCTGGAACTCACTATGTAAACCTGGCTGGCCTCAGAGCTCACAGAGATCTTCCTGCCTCTGCCTCCTGAGTGCTGGGACTAAAGGCACATGCCACCAGGCCTGGCTAGTATAAAAGAAGTAATTTCAAACCATTCGCACAATCTAAAAAATCAAATTAAGTTAGCTCCTGAAATAGTAAAACTCAAAAAGACTGAGTGACTAGCAGTCAGGAACATTCTAGATGGACCTTCTTAGAGAATATATGTATACTACTGGTTATACAAAAAATTATTTTATCTTGTATACATAGTCATCACATATTTACCTTAACACATTCAAAATAAATAAATGCATATAATAAACTAGTTATGAATCCTATGGTTTCTATGGTTTCATGAATATTACTTTTAGAAAGGATGAAGTAATTAATTTTAGGTTGATCTAAAGAAAAGTATTAAATCAGCATACCCAATTTAATGTAACTAGATGTTATTTTATTATCTGTTCATTAACCTCCTATAATTTATATAAATAAGCACTCAGGGGCAAGAAAATTTTATGAAAATAAACACCTGAGAAGAAACAATATTCTAAAAAGAAAGAAAATAAAAACATTGCTATTTTTCAACACAAACTGTCTAAGAAAACAGAAAAAATAAGCAAGGCATGGAAGTTCATGCTGTAACACCAACACTTTGGCAATGGAAGCAGGATCGTTTCAAGTTCATTTTCAGTTACATAAGTGATTTCCAAGCCAGTCTGAGCTACAAGAGACTCTACTTCAAAAGAACAACAACAACAAAATAAGCAACAATCATGAAAGTTCAAAATGTATGACTTTTTGGATAAACTATTCTGAAGGAATTCTTTCATTAAACATTCTGACACTAAAGCTCCTCCTTTATCATAACTATCTTATTATTCAGCAATTTTTCTGAAGACATGGTAATTCATCACCACATTCAAAATATAATGCAGTAACATCACAATATAATGCAGTAACATATTTTTCATTATTTTTAGTACTAACGGTAGAAATACTGATTTTTTTAAATTATAACTATAAAATGTTACTGGAATACTCACATAAACTAAACATTTCTCACAAAAGACTAATGTTCTTACAGCTAATAAACATTTGCTGATGATTTACAATGAGATAGGTATACTGGGAAGTAAAAACTTGAAAGTGTATTTGCAAGTTTTCACTTAAAGGACGTATTATTACCTTGAGGAAAATTTAAAACATTTAAGGTAAAACACTAAGAGAGAATACCTTCATCGTGCTCCTTAAAAACAAGCATGTATTTTGTTACTTGGAAAGTCCAAACTATCTGCTATGCTATATCACATACATACACATACACACACAGACGCAGACACACAAACGAGATTTAGACTTAAATTTCCTTTAGGGGTCTGGAGAGATGGCTCAGTGGTTAAGTGTGCATACTGATCCTGCAGAGGACCCAAGTTTGGTTCTCAGCACGCATATGGCAGCAATAACCATCAGTAATTCCAGTTCTGACACCCACTTCTGACCTCTGCGGGCATTGCATAACACAGGCGCACTTACATACATGCAAGAATAACACTCATCTACCTAAAAAAAAACAAAATACTTAAAAATATATACATTTAAAAGGTAAGTCTTAAATTTCCTTTAGTAAGTTCAACTTCAACAGTATTTGATACTGTTGCTCAAATTGTTCTGAAAATCCTCATGAATCTTATTGAGGCCTAGGGGCATCTTGTGATTATTTGTGAAAAGCCTGCCCCCCTCTATCTTAAGGCACTGCATAGCAGGCATATTCTTACAGCATACAAAAGCAATGGGGCTCTGTGGAGGAAACGATGCCACAGGAGTCACAGGAGGCACTACTGGAGGCATTTTTACTGCCTAGAGAGAAGCCTAACCTTTTGGTAGGCCAAGAATTATTCTATGTCTGAATAATTAAGTAATAAGTGACATCTACTATGTATAAGAAACCTTAATGCTTAGGCTTGTCCCCTGAAAACATTTCCTCTGTGTTTATCCCCAAAGAAATTTCAACTAAAGTCTAAGAAAGAAAAGCAGTCACGGCAGAGATCCGTGTCATACCTCCTGAGTGTGTTCTTTGTAGACGTGTAGGGGCCCTGTGGCTCTGGCAGTGTCCCAGAGCTGCAGTAAGCCATCGCCACTGCAGGTGACAAGGATGTGTTCATTATTTTCACTCCAGGTCACGTCAAACAAACCATCATTCCAGTCAAAGCTACACCAGGATTAAAAAGAAAATTATGAATTTATACGTGAAGCTGAACAGAAAACACTAACAATCACAATTTTACAGTTACTATTTTTCTCTTTAGTTTTTCACATATTTTAGCAAACATGGTGTCATATGATCTTCAAAACTATGAGAGATAAGTAATGCAGGAAGTGGAAACAGTTCAGAAAGGCTAACGGAGCTCAGGAAACACAGGAAGATAACTAGAAAGCTGGGTTAAAACTGGGTTTCACGACCTCCAATATGCAGCTTCTGAGACCAAGGCAAGCTGTCATACCTGGCGCTCCGCTGTTCCGTGACTCACAGGACAGGACAGCCCAAACTTCAAAATGCTAATTTAGACCAATGGTTTTAAATTTTCCCACAATCTTTCATCTGAGCTATATAATGCTTATCACATAAATCTTACACCTGAGTTGTGAACAGGTAGTCACTTCCTGACAGATTTTCTTTTCTCTGCCTTTGACTAATCCTGATGACGTACCAATGAGATCACACCCAGAAGACACTCATGGAAAGAAAGAATGAGAAGAGCCAGGTAGCCTACAAATGAGCATCAGCTCTTGGTTAAGTAAAGCTAAATTATGTTAAGACAGCAAGGACAGGTAATTTCACAGAGTACACTAGTTAGTTCAGTTTTAAGTTTAAATGTCATAATTTATATTTTTAATAATTATTTTTATTTTGCATGTATGAGTGTATTGCCTGCATGTATGTGAGTGCATCTGTGTCGCACAATGCCCATGAAGGTCAGAAGAGGGCATCAGATTCCCCTGGAACTGGAGTTATGGACACTTGTTAGCCACCATGTGGGTGCTGGGAATCAAACCCAGGTCCTCTGTGCTCTTAACTGCTGAATCATCTCTCCCAACCCCAAATGTCATAATGTATAAATGGAAACTAAAAATATGCTTCAGGAGAAAAATAGCATAATCAGAACTTAATAGCAAAAAAAAAATAATTTCTATACTATGCCATTATTAAAGTGCTTTTGTTTTATTGAGACAGAGTCTCACTATGTAGCACTGGCTGGCCTAGAACTTTCTATGTAAACAGACTGACCTAATACTCAGAGATCCACCTGCCTTTACCTCTCGAGTGCTAGGATTAAAGGCACGCACCACCATGCCCAGCTAAAGTTCCTTTTATACCACAAATTAAAATTTCTTACTAGTCACAAAAATTCAAAAAGTAATTCAACTGAGACTTCAACAGCAACTGAGAGTATATGCAAGTTTACTAATTAGAGCCACCTTACCTTCTAAAAATCTGGAGCCCAGATTCATTTTGATCCAATATTAGTAGAGTTCCACAGCCTAGAGAGAACAAACAAACAAACAAACAAACAAACAAAAAACAAGGTCATGCTGTTGAGCCTGCCAGGGGAACACCGAAGATTAAGTATCAACACTGAAAACCAGATTTTACTACTACATTTCCCCTTAAATGACTAGGACTATGTATACAATACGACTAGAAGTTTCATAGTAGGTTTCAATGATTAAATAATTGACTTCCTATCTCCCCCGACTGGACTCCAGACACACTAACAGAGGGGAAAGCTGCCTGAGTGCCTTTAATATTATTTACATCTTTTGGTGTTCACATCCTTACTGACAGAGGAGAAACCTCAGGCTTAACAGACCCTACAGCAGTCTGTGATCCAGCCTTGCTGGTCAATATAAGATACATCTAACATGGTATTTCACACCAGAGTATGTGTGGAAACACGTTTGTTGGTGTAGACAACAGTATCAGTTTCACTAATCTGCCAGCAATGATTATTTTGCCAAAGAACTAATGTATCTCTCTCTCCCCTGCCCCCATGGAACCCTACTAATACTGGACCAAAATGAATCTGAGTTTAGAATTTTGGAAGGTAGGATGGCTCTAATTATTAAATATATATATATATATACTTGGTTGCCATTAAAGTCTTAAAAGAATTATACTTTGAATTCTTTGTGATCAATAAATGTTTTAATTTGTAAGGAGCTAAAACCTCCATTTAAACATGACTGCTAAACAAAACAACTAAACACTCCTCCTCAGGAATTTTTGCAAAAAATGTAAATATTAAAGGCTGATGAGTCTCCATTCTAACTGGAGACCAGAATTGATAGGTGAACATGCAAGCACCAAGTGATAAGGGCAGAAATGATAAGAAAACAAGTTATTTCCCACTGACTTTAAAAAGAAAATCACTTTTTAAATAATGTAGACAAAACAAAAATATTGCTTGCTGACATAATGCAACGATTCACTGCTTTCTGCTCCAGTATGCAATCCATAGCTGAGGCATGCATTGCAAAAAGGAAAAAAAATCAAGAATGGATGTACATCTTTGCTGTTCCTTGACAATCCACTGGAGACACAGCATGGGCCTCTTGACAGATGTTTCTACCTACATGCTCAGGAGTTAGCTTTTATTTTTTGTTGTTGTTATTTTATTGTGTATAAGTGTTTTGCCTGCATGTGTGTAAGTGCATCATATGCATGCAATGCCCATGGAAGGCAGAAGAGGGCCTTGGATCTCCTGGAACTGGAGTTACAGACAGTTGCTAGCTACCTTTTGGATGCTGGGAACCAAATCAGTGTCCTCTACAAGAGCAGCTCCAGAAGTTGGTATTCTTAAATCAGTCATGCTTAAATGCAAGTTTTACCTCCTTAATCATTTTCCATGAGACAACTCAAGGTAACCACAAAACTTTCTGGGGTTTTTTTTTTTGAAAGGGTCAAGGTCTCCCTATGTTGTAGTCTGGGCTGACTTTGAACTCGTGACCCTGCTCCCCACTCCCATCCCCCTCAACACACGCAGAGCAGAGAAGTGCATTCCTGTTCCAGAGCTTTCCCACGGCTCCAGTATGAGTCCATGTGACAGTACGGTCCTCAAGGCTCCAGGTCGCTTGCCGGGACTGAAGTGGGAGACCCACACCTCCGGAACCACTGCCCAGCAGCCATCCAGGAGGCGGCACGGCCCTCTGTCTCCCCCTGGTGGCGACGGGCGGCAAGGCACACTCGGAAGCGTGTAGCTACGCCCGCGAGCCCGCACTCCCGCCCCGGCGGCGCGGCCCGGGCTCACCCACGATGCCGTAGTGCTGCGCCGTGGCGCAGGCCAGGCGGCCCGGAAGGTACGGGGAGAACTCGACGGCGTAGCCGTGGCGGCCCGGCACCCTCAGCATCCGCACGGCGCTCATCCCGCCCGCCACGGCTCGGCCTCGCAGCTAGGCCACAAAAGCAATCGGGAGGTAGAAGCCGCACGCTAGGACTCCCTCAGAGAACTTAGAGGCTATGGAAGACCGGGCGGAAGTGAGAGCGCCGGCGCCCGAATCCTGGATTCCTATTGGGTCGCATAGGAAAGGGCGTTGACTTCAACAGAGACCATTTTTCTTTTGGGCAAAGTCAATTGCTTAATACTGATTTAAATGACCCAGCCTTCTTAGATTCTATTCTAGACCTAATGAAGAAAACTAGGAGACACTTCCGACAGTTGTGCGTGTTGCATCTCACCTTTCAGGGCGGAGCAATCTTGTCTTTTTCTAATTCTTTGAACTTTTGAAAGATTGGCATCCAGACATTTCCTGCTGATTATGAAATGTAACAAGTCACCGCAAACTCTGAAACCAGTTCGCTAGTCCAAAAAGTCCATGAATAGAGTGCTGTGTTACCCAAGGTAATTTGAAGCGATATTGAGTTAGTAAATACTGAAGCTAAAGGAAAAGGACAGTATAAGCAACTAAAAAAAATTTTTTTTTTGCAACTAAATTTTTTTATGTGTTATATGCACAATTACACTGTGCTCAGATCTTGGGGTAACTGGAAAACCAAGGCTCATTAATTCGTTCTTTCAAACATTTGCCAAGTGTGTGCAGTGTGGAAGATGAGCATGAGAGTCTGAATGTGTACTTACATGCCATGCTTGAGTATTAGCAGTCATTGAGATGGGCTCCCACTTACCTGAAGTCCTCCTGAAACCATATTGCCACCACCTTCCCGTGCTTTGGGCTGCCCTCTTCAACATTTTCTCCGTCACTGCCATTACATGGTCATTCTTCTTAAATTTTATGTATGTATTTATTTATTATGGGTGTTTTGCCTGCATGTATGTAAGTACACTACATGCATGCAATACCTGCAGAGACCAGAAAAGGGTATCAGATCCCCTGGAACTGAGTTATAGATGGTTGTTAGCTGCCATTTGGTTGCTGGAAACTGAAGCTGGGTCCTCTGCAAGAGCAGCCAGTGCTCTTAATTGCTAGGCCATCTCTCTAGACCCAGACATGGTTATCTTTTAACCTCACCCTCCCCAAGGACACCTCAAAACACTGTCCATTGAATACATGCTTTCACCAAAAGTTCTGTACAGCTATGCCAGTTCAAGTACCCTGAGGCAGGAACCACAAAGGATCTAGCTACTAACTGAATGAAGAAAGACAAAAAGAAAAAAAATGTACATTAAATCACAATATGTTAATTTTCTGTAGGTTTGTTCATGAATAATAATAAATTATGTTGATCCATTATTAATTCATAACAACTAATAACTGTGTAGAGGCAGATAGTTTGGGACCTATGACATCTCTCACTCCCAAACCACACAAGCCCATTGCCTCAGAAGCTTGTCGGGTGACTTCCATAATGCAGATTCTTGAGGTACACCATAGGCATGTTCATTCAAAATCCTACAGCATGAAATGGGAAATTTTTTTTAATGCTGGGAATCAAACTCAGGACTTCACATGTTTGTTATAAAAGTGCGCTACCATACAACTAGCTATACCCCCACCCCCCAAACTGCATTTTAAAAAACTCCTGTGCCAGCCAAGCTCTATGGAGGATGAAGAGAGAATTACTGGGGTTTACTGATTACCAGTGCAGCTCCAAGTTCAGTGGCAGACTGTGTTCCAAGAGAATAAGAGTGGAAAGTGACAGAGCAGGACACCTGATGTCCTCCTCTAGCTTCTGTGCATGCACCATTGTGACCACCTGCTCATACACATGGGTACACCACACACACACACACACACACACACACACACACATACATGCATACATGCACAAATAAATCAATGAAACATTACTGTGAGTGATTCTCTTATGCTGACTACAGCACAGAAAGCACATTTGGAGGCCAGGTATGATGGCACATGCCTTTAATCCTAGCACTCAGGGCTATACCATGAGACCCTATCTCAAAAAAAACCAAAAAGCACATTTAGGGAGAAGTGTTCAGCACTGGCAAAGACTTGGACAGTGGAATCATACTCTGGCCCTCCTAAAGGAACAATATGCTCCAAAGCACGTTGGGAGACTGTTTGGGGGAGGCAGGGGAAGCATGGCCTCATACACCCTTGGCAAGTGCACTGCCACTGAGCTACAACCCCAGCCCCAGGCTCAGAGATTCTTAAGATGCTCAATAAAGGATATCATCCGTGCAATTCTGACACCTTAACTGAAGGCCTAGGCATTGTATAGATCCAGAGGACACCAGAGCGGATTTCCTCACATAGCAATGTGGGTATGAGTACAGGCCGGAAAACAAAGAGACTCATGTTCAATTATTAACATTCAGCTTTATAGATTAAGGCTGAAAATGGGGTTCCAGTTATATACTCCAGTTTTATTAGCCAATAGTATATTGTGCTAGTTTTTTGTCAAGTTTACCTAAACTAGAATCACCTGATAAGAGGGACCCTCAATTGAGAAATTCCCTTCATCAGAATGGCCTGTGGCCATGTCTGTGGGACATTTTCCTAATTGCTGATTAATGTGGGAATGCTCAGCCCATGGTGGGCAGTACCATCTCTGGGCAGGTGGGCCTGGGATATATAAGAAAGGTAGTAAGCCTGAGGGAGAAACAAGCTGGGAGGAGCAAGCCAGTTCGTTTGGTCCCTGCTTCAATTCCTGTCTCCAGGTTTCTGCCTTGACTTCCTGCTTTGACGTCCTCAGTGAAGGACTGTGACCTGAGAGATATAAGATGAAATAGGCCAGGCGTGGTGGCACACGCCTTTAGTCCCAGCACTCGGGAGGCAGAGGCAGGTGGATCTCCTTGAGTTCAAGGCCAGCCTGGTCTGTATAGCAAGTTCCAGAACAGCTGGGGCTACAGGGAGACCCTGTCTCAAAATGACCGAGAAAAAAAAAAAGATGAAATAAACCCTTTTCTTGCCAAGTTGGTTTTCGTCACAGTGGTTTATAACAATATATACAAACTAGGACATGCACCAAATGTAATATTTGAAACTTAGAAGTTTATACTCAAGGGGATATTTGTACATTCATTTGTTCCAGGACCTTTGCACTTACAGAAACCTGAGATCCAATGCAGGTAGTATCACTTCACTTATATCTTCTGTGTGCTGTTCTCAAGGGTGACACAAGATGGCTTTATGTGTCCCTGCATCAGTGTCTTCATGAAGACTACTGTCATTCAGGTTGCAGATGCGGGCAAGTTCAATTCCAACTTAAACTTTTATATTATTCATAATTAGCTAAAGAGTTCTTTCAACTCACAGGTAACAGAGTAAGACCACAAAGTTAAACAGCTAGTACCCATTAATGCCTGTGCCTGCCACTGAAAGGCTGTGCCCACAATGAACTTCTAGGGTGAAGTAGCTACTATTTCCATCATGATCAAATCTTCAACATTAAGTGGAAATTTAAAAGGTACTTATTTGAGAAACCCAAGAAAATTTTTGTGTTTTTTTTTTCTTTTAATGAGCTCAAGATAAAAATAGAGCCTAGAATATTTTATTGTACTGTACATGTATTGGCCCAATGAAATTTTGATAGTTGGAGCTGGAGAGATGGCTCAGGGGTTAAAAGCACTTGCTGCTCTTACAGAGGACCTGGGTTTGGTTTCTAGCACCCACATGCAGCTAACAATGTAACTCCAGTTCCAAGGGATCCAATTCCCTCTTCTGGCCTCCATAGGCATTGCATGCACATGATGCACTTAAATACATGCAGACAAAACAATCATACATATACATAAAATATATAAATATAACAGTAATAAAAAAGAGGCTAAGAAATTGAGAGGGAGAGAGGATGGAGGACTGGGAAGGATGGAAATACTGCAAATACTTATGTATGAAATTCTCAACAATAAAATAAAATTTAAAATCTACATTTTTAACTTGACAATTATAGGTTATAGCTGTGATGATTATTATCTGTTATCAACTTCACAGGATCTAGAATCACCTATGGAAAAAAATCTTGTAATTAAATTACAAGATGACCATTGTGGTAGTCAAGAACCATCAGCAGGTGAAGGATGTAGCTCAGTGGTAGTGTGCCTGCCTGGCATGTACAAATCCCTGCCACAGATCAAGTTCAGGACTAGCTTGGGCTTCATACCTATGCCCTGTTTTAAAAAACAAAGTAAGAGACTGTTGTAGTTAAAGCCCTCCACAGAGACATTACAACTCATACAAGACATGCTCCTGAGGTAGATCCTGCACCAAAATGATGCTTTCTTTCTGCAGTCAAGGGCACAAGGGACAGCTGGCCAAAGTATTCAGTATAGTTTTCATTTATGCTAATTTCCTGATTTTGTTCATTGTTTTTAATTTTTGCAAGACAATATTCTTGTTAGGAAATATACATCAAACCTGCAATTTAATCTCAATCATTTAAAATCATAGATAACACATGGGGGCAGAGAGATGGCTCAACAGTTAAGAGCACTGGCTGCTCTTGCAGAGGACCTTGGTTTGATTCTGAGCACCCACATGGCAGCTCACAATCATCTGTAATTCCATTTACAAGGGATCCAATGCCCTCTTCTGACTTCCATGGGCACTCCATGACATGGGTGCACTAATACACATGCAGGCAATACACTTATACACATAAAATAAAAATAATAAAATAAAATTATAGGTAACACATAAGTAGATAAAATGCATATGATAAAATATTAATATTTGTGAATCGGTGCAAAAGGAATATGGAACTTTAAACTTCTTTTTGAAACTTGACTATGTGCAGTTTATTTAAAATGAAATGTTTTTTTAAAAGTCTGGGAGCTGAAGAGACACCTCAGCAGTTAAGAGCACTGGCTGCTCTTCCAGAGGACCCAGCACCTATGTGGTAATTAATTACTGTCTGTAACTCCAGTTCCAGGGGATCCCACACTCTCTTCTGGCCTCTGTGGACACTGCACAAATGTGATGCACTTATATACATTCAGGCAAAGCATACATCCACATAAAATAAAAACAAATACATTTAATTTTTAAAAATTCTGATGCATTAAGAAAACTCTGATGACAACTTTAAGTCAACTGAAGTTTTGGAATTA